TGGAGCTCAAAGCGGTGGTGCATGTTAACAAAGTAGTCGAACTTGTCTGCACATCATTGTTAGGCGTTCTCTTTCTTTTCAGAAAACTGAGTCTGAAATGTTCACTAAAATTTCATCTTGTGTTAAGCTAAGGTTTAAGCAAAATTCAGGTCGTTTTACCTTATCTCTTATTTGTTTGTGTTTTTAACTCTCCAAGAACGAAGCAAACACGTTTATCGCGCGACGAGTTCTACCGTGTACAAACTTCAACTTCCGACTTATAATGAAGTTTTGTCACAGCTGTCGAGGCTGTTGAAAAATCTTCCTTTTCAGCCCAGATATATCCCTTTTTTAACAAATGTTTTAATTAGGTTATATACGAGACGAAGATTAGAGGTGGTACAAGAGAGTCTAGTAACAAACACATAGTAATAATAGCGATAAGGACGATAAATATGTTTTATAGGGAGGAAGGAGAAAACCACACCAGAACATCCACCAACCACTCTCTTATATCATCTTCACCATTGAGTAGAAGTTACTAGAAGTCTGTTACTTTCTTGTGTTTTTTCATACTAAATTTCTGCCATGTTCCCTACTGGTTGAGGGGTCCTCTGGTTAAGGGGTCTGTTTAAGAGATGAAATAGCGACTTGTGTTATTCTTGTTGTTTTTTAAAACGTATATAAGGGGAAACAATGCTATACTTTCAGCTTTGTTTCAATCTCTCTTCAATGAACATTTGATTTATATTGTCTATACACACTTGGTCAAAATCGCCTCTGTGCTGAAGGGATTATTACTGTGAATGCACGTGCTTGGTAGACTTCCAGTTTCATTTTGTTTTTCCTCTTGTTCGTTTTCACTACTGGAATTCAGTGCTTTCACTGTGATTTGGTCAAAAGTGGAAAATGTAGTTAGTACTAGACAGCGCTAAGCTCGCGAAGTGTGTCTGATCACTAGCAGACCAAGGCATTGATGCGTTTTCTCAAAACGTTTTTATTCTTAGAATTGTCGCTTTCCAGATTATCTTTAAAATCTGAGATTGTTTAGGTTTCATAAAAGCACATTGACACGATAAGAGCTGTCTAATGCTTGGAAAAAGAAGGAAAAGCACCCAGAAACAACAGACGAATATAACAAAATAGGACTTATCAGCACCATCCTCCAACCTCCCACTTATTTGACGTCGGTAAAATGACGGACATGTTGGGACACTCGCGGGCCTGGGGTCAAAAGCTTCCATCTACAATTGAAACGTATTGCAGATGGACACTTTTTGCCCTAGGCACTCGATATGCAGCATCAACAGCCTTACGTCTCACCTAAAGTACAACTTCTTCATATCAGGCTGGAGACTCTTTCGCTGAGCAGGTGGTCTTATGTTGGACGGCAATGTGGACGATCCAGGTTTGTATTCTTGAAAAAATGTTCCAAAACTTGAGACTGAGACTGAGGCACGTTCAAGAATCCTTTTGTTTTCAAGCCACCCTCTTGGATGGTTGGCGGGTGCTCCGGTGTGGTTTGCTCTTTATTTCCTATCAAACTTCTATGGTTCTTTTCTCTCATTCTTTTTTCTTCTTTTTCTTTTTCGGTGTACGTTTCTCTCTTTTAAGACCTCTAATCGTCAGTACTTATATGACCCAATTGTGTTGCAAGGGACGTTAAACTCTTATTAAAACTTAAACCCATCACCCCTCCCCCCCCCATACAGCTAGTCAAGCCATTTTACTGCTATTACTGATTAGACAAACCGTATTACTGCTACAGACAAGCTGTATTACTCATATAGAAAAGCCATGTTACTGCTACAGACAAGTCATAATATTATTGCTATTTAGTTATATTACTACTATAGACAAACCACATTATTATTACTCATTCTATAGATAAGCCGCCGTATTACTTCTATAGACAAGCTATATTACTGCTCTAGACAAGCTATATTACTGCTATAGATAAGTTACTGCTCTAGACAAGCTATATTACTGCTAAAAAAGTAAAATTGTTCCTGCATCCAATCCGGACATTGGGGATTGCCCTGCTAGTTACACAACTTCCGGGGCCTTGGGCATATTGTGGTAGGGCGGCCAGTTCCTTTCCACGCCGCCTTTACTTCCACAACTCGAAGTCAGGTACCCATTACTGCTGGGTGGGCAGGGGGCGGCGAAAAAAATCCGTGTCCGAACAAGCCATATCACTGCTTTAGACAAACTATAACATATCTGCTATAGGCGAGACAAGTCATATTACTGCTATAGACAAACTATAACATATCTGCTATAGGCGAGACAAGTCATATTACTGCTATAGACAAGCTACATTGCTGCCATAGGGAAGCCGTATTACTGTTCTCAGTAATATTTTGAATGAAGTTTAAGTCATTTGGCGACTACACTATATTTTTTTGTTCATAAGGATCCCAACAATTATTTGTGTCGACCACATTCTGTCTCGTCTTTTATTCATTCTTGTCCGACAATTTGTGAGATTCCTGTATTCGTAATGGTCAGTATGTTCAAGTCAATCGCCATAGACGTTTATAGATAGTGTAGGGATTTTTGCTTTTGTTTGTTTGTTTATTTGTTTGTTTGTTTATTTGTTGGTTTGTTTTTTTAACGTGCTTGACTTTTGTTTTCGTTGAATTTTGTTACTGGTTTACTTTTAATGGAATCATAGAGGATTATTCATTCCCAACTAAAAATAGTTTAAACCATTTAAGAGGCTGGTTTTGACCTAGCCAGTCAGGACCAACTCAAAGAAAGGGATACAAAGACGCAGTAAAAAGACCGAGATGTTCGAACTCAGGTCTTCCGCACACAACAGAACATACGCCGGTAATTATCTTTAAGCTTGTTGTTCAGTGGTTAATACTGATGATAATGATGATGATGATGATGATGATGATGATGATGATGATGATGATGATGATGATGATGATGATGATGATGATGATGATGATGATGATTCCCTTGGTTTTGCCTTCCCCGGGCGTCTGTGGTGTAATTAGTCATTGCTTGTGTAACATCCATGGCAACCAACATTAAAATATTCATTCACACAAGAAGTAAAAAAAGGACCCAAATAAAGAGCAATAACTCAGTCAATTTTGCACCAATTAAAAAAAACAACAACAACTTCGAACGTATATTAGTGTAGTAATATTTAATAAGTCAATGTTCGACTGGTATTTATGTAAAAAAAATAAAACACTGTGCTCGAGAAACATCCAGCTTAAAAAAGTTGTCAAGAAAAATGGGGTAAAACGCAAAACTTTACATACTAAAGGTGTTCAGCGATAGAGGTGTTGTCGGTCCGTTCTGGTTTCAGGACAAGGACAGTAAAACACGACTGTCACATCAGATGGATGTCTCACAATGTAGAGAAAGTTTTGGAGAAGTTTGGCGGGGAGAAGGGGTTAATGCTGTTGAGGAGGCTTGGTTCCAGTAAAGAAGGGTGGGCACACCCCACACCTTAAGAGTAAAACTTGTGTGGTTGCAATAATGGCGGTTTGGAACTCCTTGTTACACCTGGTAAGTGTTTTACGGCGTTAGAAACTGCATAAGGTCATATGGACGCGCGCAGGACAGATTAAAAAAATGTGTAGTTGGTAGGAAATTTTTGAATTTTGCCCGGGTGGCGGCTGAAGCCCACTCTGATGGATTTTGACCACCAAAGGATATTTATCGTGCACAACCTGCACACGGGACCTCCGCGATTTTTGTCCTTGTCTGAGAAGGCTAGGTGTAAGATCAGGGGTGTGGGTGAAAGGCAGCAGTAAGAAGAGGCCAAGGATTAGCAGTAGAAAGGCTGCAGAAAGAGCCCGAGGAAGGGGGGGGGCAAAGGTGGTAATGGGGTGGTGGCAGAAAGTGGAGACGAAAGCAGACGATAGAACATTGTTAGAGAGCAGGAAAGGTAGTGAAAGGAGAACATTTTACTCAAGAAAATGTTCTGTATCTTTCCGGATTCAAAAACGGGACCTATTAAATGAGAGGCGAACACTGTAGCCTCTCGACCCCGAGAGCCCCCATAACTATTTGTTAGAAGAAAGCCTACAAATGAATGGTCAACGCTTTTCCCCATCTTACACCCTTTGAATGATTTCCTTTGCAGTATTCTGACTGGCATTGTCTACGGAAACAAGGCACACACAGTTGAAACTCAATGTTGAACAGGAGGCCCAAAAGAATCTACCTGGAAACATGTTACAGCGGTACTCAATATTTTCAGCGCTTAATTCAACACAGTACATTGAATACATGAAGAGGAAAGACTACCAACCCATTGATTTATCAATACACAAAGTACAAAATACACTCAAAGACACAGAGAGAGAGAGAGAGAGAGAGAGAGAGAGAGAGAGAGAGAGAGAGAGAGAGAGAGGGGGGGGTCGGAAACGGAAGGCAGGCATTCGCGAAAGGGAAGGCCTTAGAGATGATCTAACAGAGCATGATGGGATATGTTGGTGGGAGAGGGAGCAGCGGATGGTGGTCAACAGGCCATTATTATCGACCTGACCCTACGGTCAATGATTAAGTGGTACACACACACACACACACACACACACACACACACACACACACACACTCTCTCTCTCTCTCTCTCTCTCTCTCTCTCTCTCTCTCTCTCTCTCTCTCTCTCTCTCTCTGTGTGTTTCTCTCTCTCTCTCCCTCTTTCTCGCTCGCTCGCTCTCTCTCTTTTTCTGAAACAGCATATTAACATAGATAGAAGGTGCATTAATAAATCAACAGTTTCAAATCAATAATGGTTATGCTTCCCAGGAAGCCAAGAATGTTGTTAAGTGTTCTATAGCCTGTTGGGGCAATAATAGTTATAAAGCACACAATCCAAGAGCATGCGGAATGACAATAATTGATAATAGTAATAATAATAACGGCAATGATATAATGACTATTATTATTATTATTATTATTATTATTATTATTATTATTATTATTATTATTATTATTATTATTATTATTATCCTCGTTCCAATCCTAAGAAATTATACTTGAGATCAGTC